ACCAGCGGCCATCAAACGGCCAAGACCACAGGCAGAGGCGGAAAAGGTGGTCTTCAAGGGTGACCGAACTGGAGGGAAAAGAAAGCTCCTACAGGAAGGAACTGAAGGGCGAGTCCGCACAAGAGGGAGGATAAATCAAACACGAATCTTCGCTACCTTCCAGGTCTGGGCAGTGAAAAGAATGTCCGAATGTCACAAAGATAAGAAAAGTTTTATGTTACTTTGCAAACTTAAGTTAATCTTTCATTCTCTGCAAGTGGCATATTTGACGGAACTTTTACCTCATGTGAGGTCTACCTTTATCGCCCAAGGCGAGAAATGAGTTGTTACCTATTTGGTATTAGTTTTCAATTACTCGGGAGTAACTAAAGTTGATGTATATAGGAATGTGTAAATACTTGAATATTGTAAAATTTTGTTAAATTTTATTTAAAACATTGGCAAGAAAGAAGTTTTAGTCTGAAAGACTTTTGAAATGTAGTATTTCAATAGAGAATTGGCACTTGCTTGAAAGAATAGAAGTAAACAATGTACACTAATTATGTTTTAAATTGCGTAAAATAACGGCATGTTATATGTTTATATACAATGTGAACTGTTATTTAAATGTTAAGACATACTGTGATATGGTAAAAGTGGAAATAATGCCACAAAATTTTTAACTTATTCGTGTGACTGAAAAAAAAAAAAAAAAAAAAAAAAAAAAAGTAGGCTCTCTGACGCTTTACTTCAGAGTTAGCCACTTTTCAGATAGTACCTCAGGGTTTAGAGTTTAGAAGGGTGTCTTCGAGGTCTTGTTATGTTGAATTTTAACCCTTAGTGTTTTGATTGTAGGAGGCAGTTTGAACACGTTACATAAACACATTTGTGTTTGGTGTTTTCTTTACAACACATGTCAGAGAGACGGGGAGAGATAATTAAATAAAGTCATGAATGAAATAAGATGTAGAGAAATATAAATTTCATGTACTTGCCATTTCATTGTGTAACATTTCATTAAACTATTTTCCTCCAGATCTCTGAAGGAACCAGATTGAACTAAAGCTCCTGTTTAGATTGCATAACAGATGAAAATGGTTGTCCATGGAGCTGATAATGTAAAACAATTTTTTTTTTTAAATTTCTAGTTTCTAGTGAGAAATGTTTGTAAAAGATTGGCCTCGCGTTAGATTCTAGAGCTAAAAGTTTTCAACAAGTCGTTTTAGACCTCAGTTTCAAACTAATAATCTGGCGGGAAGTATGTAAGGATCTAAGTTTTACAACGTTTATTTTATTTTAAATCTCTACTATCACTTCTTATTTTCTACTTCCGGCCAGAATTAAAAGCTTTAACTTATTTATGCAAATTTGTCTGGCGAACGCCAAGTACTTAAGTTGTGGCTTTTTGCCAAGCAAGAGAGAGGAAGGAGTTAGTAGAAGCAGGCCGCTTGTCTTAGCAGTTTTACTCGGTTGCTGGTTGCATTCCAGGCCAGAGGTTTAATCCTCTTGATAATTTTAAACGTATTGTAGTGTTAACAGTTCTCTGTACTACATACGGCTTCTTGTTAATATACGGCCAATCTTCCACGTAGGATCTGTGTTTATTCCAAATTAAGTTAGAGTTTAGTTAATATTTTATATTCTTACGTTCAGACCACAAGTAGTTGGTCTCTGTATTCCGAAGTACGGAAATTATTGTAAAGAGTGAAAAATAAAGGGTTTCGTATACCCTTCCTGTGTATCTTGTCTACTTCCCACATTTATTGAACATAGCTTTAGTAAGCTCCCTGTTCCGAGTCAGGTCTGTGCAGGTTCCCAAAGAAAGTAAGGCGGAACATTGAACCTGATAATGTAATGTATTGCCACTGCTCGAAATAAAATATTTTTATCTTCCACGTGATAGTGGATTGTCACTCGACAAAGTTCAATTTGCCTTTTAAATTATTGACTTCGCTGTTATTTAATCTGATTTAGTAATTAAACTGTTTGATCTCTCTACTATTGATCAACAAACTAGAGGGTTTAAAATAAATCAACAAACTTTTTTATCTGTATTAGTTATCTCTTGTATCCATGAAATTACACCAGTTCAATTCATAAAAGTTATTGTACACTTTTTATTTTTTATTATTACTATTTTAGGCTATATAGTAGGCATATTTAGATTTTTTCACACATGTGATTACAATTGAGATTTAATGAAATGGGAACTATAAAATTCATATAATTTGTATTTTTGTAGTATTCATTAAATTCATGGGTAAATATGATTTTTATGTACTCTAGAAAACTGCACATTTAATGTGGTTTATTTTCATGTAGTATTAAACTTATTCATAGCGTAAACATGGTTTTTATTTACATTGAGAAGGCGATAAATTATTGTAGTTTATTTTATTGTAGCTTTCATTGTACTTATTCTGTAAAGAAGATTTTGACATACGGAAAAGAACAAAGAATTCCGTAGCAGTCATTATAGATAGGACGTAAACATGATTTCTATATACAACACTGAAACAAAAAGTTCATAGATTTGTTTAATTGCAGCATTCATTGTATTCATGGTATAGAATTGATATTTTATAAACTTATAAAAACCCAAAACTTCATGTGACTTGCTTTATTGTATTATTCGTTATATTCATAGAATAAAGATTATTTATATACACTGAAATACCAAAACATTCGTCAGAATGTTTTTATTATAGCTTTCATTATATTCATGGTATAAATATTATTCTTTTATACACCGCAGTGCCAAATATTCATGTGAATAGTTTTATTGTAGTATTCACTATATTGATATTGTAATCAGGGCTTTTATTTACACAGAGAAACCAAACATTTTATGTAATTATTTGTTATATTATAGCATTCATTATGTTCATGATTAAGAAAATGATTTTATATACACTGAGAAACCAAAAATATTAATTTGATTTGTTTTATTATAGCCATTACTTATACTAATAGTGTAAACATGATTTTTATGCTCACGACGGAGCCAAGAAATTTATGATTTGTTTGTTGTAAATTCGTTATGCAAACGTGATTTTTATATAAACTGCGGACCAAGAAATTCGCATGATTTGTAGCGTTCATAATCTAAACAGAATTCTTATATATACTTGGAAAACCCAAAATTTCATGTGTTTTGTTTTATTTTAGTATTCATTATTTTCTTCCTGTAAACATTACTTTTGTATGCACTGGAAAAAAAACAAACTTAGTGTTATTTGCTTTATTGCGGCATTTATTACATTGTTATGTCTTGGAACCTGGCCCTCAAAATTGAAAGCTATGTTGTTAAAGCATTAATGAAATAGGAAATCAAAATGTCTTGTAAGCAGTAACTAAGCGATTTAGCTGATAAGTACTTTAATTTATATATAATTATAGAAAGAAATATATGCACACAATAATTCTTAAGTAATACATATTTAAATGTTTTAATTTTTATAAAATTTATATGTAAAATATCTTTAATTTTTTGAAAATTTTTTTGCCACTTAAGCAACGATAAGAATTCAATAAATTCTCTTATAGATATGCAATTAATTTTCAGAATTCATGAAATACCGATGCACTGTGAATTTATAAAAACTGAACTTGATCAGACATCGTAACAGAAACAGACCGCTGTTGATTTCGTTAGGATAGCAAGAATCTTGTAAATGCACTGAAATATTTTCAGAAGCTGGAAATATAAACACAATATCCAGAAGTAATTGCTGTGACGTGTTAAAACTTTTAAACCATACATAAAGTTTTATAACTCAAGCATGTTTTATATTGAAAGGTCTTTGCATCTTCGTCTTATACGGAAAGTGTTCTGTTCTCCATTTATAGGCCATGAATCAATGCCATCAAAAATTTAACATAAAATAAATTCCGAATAAAATGCGAACAAAAATAATTAGTCATCTTATGACATAATAAGCATTGCGAGAATAGATTTTCAGTGAATATATTAAAGTAATGTGTTAGGAATTAAAAAATAGAGAGAATGATTATGTAATTGATTTTTACTTCAAATAATTGAGACCTAGTAATTCGAGTTTTTTGGGGGAATCGAGGGCATTTTAATCAAATGAAATTACGTGTGAGATGAATGACCATCTCCTAAATCAGTTTGATTTCATAAGCGTTACATTTGTCACTGAGTCATATTTGTCAAGGTACTGAAATACGTTTTTCTGTTACGATTGTAGAGACATTAGGTTAATTGGAAAAGCCGGAGAGAGGAAAAATAGCAAACGCCTTCGACTGGAGTTCGGAATCGAACCACGGACCTCTGAAATACCGGCTCAGTGTGCTGACCACTACACTACGAAGGCACGCTAGGAAAACGGGAGAACTACCTTATATACTTCCCTTTTTAAAGGACGACTAGGGTTTTAGGGGACCTAGTCGCCAAATCCTGGATGCGGAGAATTATCATCCACCAACCCTTTTAGTTCGGGCGGCACTGTAGTGCAATACTGTCCCTTCAGTCGTCACTAAAAACAAACAGAATTAAGAAGACTAGTTGCTTGTTATCAGGGAGGTGGATAGTTCTCTGGAATATTAGATTGGTCGCTGTTCATTTAGTCACTATTTAGATTGTTTTAAAGCAAAAGTCATCGCTGATAGAGATTTATGATTACTATCCTCTTAAACAACAGGTATTTTTGGAAGCAGGAAAGATGAAAAATTATCAGCGCCTTCGTCGGGAATCGAACTGCGGAAGTCTGAGATACCGGCTCAGTGTGCTGACCACTACACCACGAAGGTACGCTAAGAAGTCGGGAAAAATAACTTATACGATAAGTACTAAATAATGTGTTGACAAAAGCGGATGACTTATACTATTGTTGAACATAGCTTTTAATACGTAATTCATCTTTAATAGTGGTTTCATGTGCCCCGTAATCTAAGTCCTTGACAATTATATCATAATATAATGCTTAAAACAACTTCCTCATAGTAAACTGAAAATTTGGTCACAGTAAAGTATACTTATATGAAAATAATGAATCGGATTTAAAAATATGTTTTTTTATTTTAAATTAAATAGCACAGTTTAAATGCAATACTCAGGAGCTGCCATACTGAATGCACTGAGGGGCTCAGAGGTAGTCTGAATGTGTTGCAGAATGATGGTTTCTGTTTAACCACGATGTCCACCACCATGTCCGCCGTATCTTCCTCCATGTCCGCCACCGTATCTTCCTCCATGTCCGCCACCGTATCTTCCTCCATGTCCGTATCCTCCTCCTCCTCCATGTCCGTATCCTCCTCCTCCATGTCCACCACCTCTGCCTCCATGACCGCCGCCATAACGGCCACCATGTTGTGGTGCAGCAACCCCACAGGCGAAGGCCAGCATAACTGACAGGAAAATGGCTAAAACCTAATAAAAAAAACGGAACGAAGGCATGAGTGTGTTTTTTAGCATGAGTATGCTTAGGTTCAAAACGACAATGCATTGGAAGGAAACTAATGGGAAAAGCATAAAACGGGCAAAACAAAAACCTTGTGTTGGGCAGATTTTTACGAAAACAGGAAGTGAACGAGAAGGTTGCGCCATCTCGTTCGCTTTTCTCCTGTTGGATATAAATACAAAAGTGGTTTTCTCTTCGTACCAGATTTCTTTGTTCCTGTTAAAGAGGCACCTGTACCTGTTTTCCCTCGAAATCTTTAGAGTCTTAACCAAAATATATGCCAACCACAAGGTTGTTCCTTTGATAATTTTAGATTTTAGTTTGGCGTGTAATGGGAAAAGATTGTATTAGGTTGGAACACTTTTTCTTTTACAAAGTGAACAAAAAGTTTACAAATTTAAAGCAAACAGAATGCTGAGTTTAGTTGCCTTTCACCTGAAAAGACGTTACTTAATTTTGACTCTATTACCAAAGTTAATGATAAATTGTAATTGTAACTGAATTAGCCCTTCAGTTGTCACTAAAAACAAACAGAATTAAGAAGACTAGTTGCTTGTTATAAGGGAGGTGGATAGTTCTCTGGAATATTAGATTGGTCGCTGTTCATTTAGTCACTATTTTAGATTGTTTTAAAGCAAAAGTCATCGCTGATAGAGATTTATGATGACTATCCTCTTAAACAACAGCTGATCAAAGTTTAATCTGAATAGCAATACGTTTTACTAACATATTCTATACGTCTATATTAGCCGATTGTAGCAAATAAAAAATTGTTTCATTCTACACGTATCATACGTTTAAGTAGCATTAAAGTTGCTATAAAATCAGAGTTGAAATACAAATTATTTATTATACTATTGTTTCATTTTTAACTTAAAAAAGTTTAAATGGCAAAAGGAAAGACCTCTCAGTTACTAACACATTTTTGAATTTCATAATCTCAATGAGTTGCAAAAGTAAGGAAAATTACACTACTTGAAATAAAAGTCTTTGGAGGTGGTAGTGGAAAAGAATTAACTTTTCTATATTATAATATATTAAACATTAGAGAGGAATTACTTAATTTAGGTAAATCGCACGAAAATTGTCTGTCTAAATCCCATTTCTATTTTGATCAACATGGAATATGAAAGTCTCATACGATCACAGTCACCAGTATCTCTAAATGCATGCAATTATGTATGTAGAAAGTAAAGATTCCACTAAAAAAATACCTGAAAGATGCTGTTACAAGTTTATTTCTTTAAAGATTAATCTTGACGTATACTTCAAATAAAAAGTTTCTGAAGGTAAAAAACAGAATTCTACAAAATATCTGAACATTGAAGAGGGGAAATTCCATAAGAATAAATTAAATGCAAAAATGCAACTTTTTAACAGTACCAGTGTAGCAAAAATTATAATTAATAAAGGATGCAGGATGTTTCGATTACTTTGTACAGACATTAGGTATTTTGGAAGCGGGAGTGATGAAAAATGAGCAACGCTTTCGACGGGAATCGAACCACGGATCTCTGGAATACGCGCCCAGCTTGCAGACCACCATACCACGATGGCACGCTAAGAAGGCTGGACAAATACCTTATAATTTCAAAAACAAATGTTCTATATTTTTTATTCAAAATTCGCCAAGCTCTTCAAAAATAAATTGTCTGACTTATTATTCAAGTTATTATTCAATGAATATTAAGGATGTTATTCAAGAATGTGGAAAATAAATTTAGAAAATTTTTGTAAAATAATATTTCTATTTGCGGCAACTAAAGATTTCACCTCGAGTAAGCAATGCAATATTAAATCTATAGCTGGCAGCTTGAAAATACACTTAATTTTGTGAATTCTGTGTATTATTAAATTTAGTCCTTATTGGACATTTTTAGCAAATGGTATTTCAGAGAAGTTGTATGACTTATAACTGTTTAATATTGAGAAATGAGTTACGTTAAGTTTATTAAAGCTCCTCTTAATATTATGACGGTTTTGTCACGTGTTATTCTTTTGTAAAGGTATATGATGCTTAAATTTTTATTTAAAAAATTCAGGGAGAGAGTGTGTTTCATTCTCGAATTACTAGAAGGCAAGAACGTTTCATGTGACTAAAATTACTTAGAAGCAACAAATAAAACTTTTAGACTGTATGCGAGCACTCCTTAAGGCAACTACTCGTATAATGCTTTCAAATGAGAATCACTGAAAGATGATTTAAATGTTAAAAAATATGAATCAGAAGCAGAAAATACCAAATCCAAAATGGCAAAATTCGGAATTTTGTATTTAATGAAATTTAGTTATCTTTGACAACTGATATCTTCTGCTGCTTTTTAATTGGATGAAAGTGGTTTCAATCGTTTACCTTTTTTACAACTTTCCCAGGGCTAGTTTTGTACATTTAGAGTCATTTAGAAATTTTTCGAAGTCGGGAAAGTGAAGAAATCCGCAATGCCTTCGACGGGTTCCGAGCCAGATATGCGTCGAGTGTTCTTCCACTTACGCCACGAAGGCACGTGGATACTTGGCTACTGTAGTGGTTATACTGGGTTTTTACTGCATAAAAAGAGTACTTCCCAGTAACCTGAGCGAATTTTCGAAGGACATGACTTTGAAGATACAGCAAGTAGATCCTAGGACAGAATATCAGAAGGAAGGTATTTGGAAAGAAGGGGAGAAAATTCCATATATATTTCCCTTTTTAAAGGGCGACTCAGGATGAGGGGGCTCACTCGCCAGATCCTGGTGGTGACGAGTTATCAACCACCACCTTTTTTAGTTCAAGTGACATTTATAGGGTCATTTAGAATTTTAAGTCAAAATAAAGACAAACTGCAGTGCCCTAGCAGGAATTCTAACTCTGGACCTTCAGAATACTCACTGAACATGCCTCCAGTTACACCATGAAGGCATGCGGGATGGAGGGAGGAAATACCTTATACACTGGTAATGGCAATTGTTTATGAAATGATTAGAACTTGTAAAATAAGAATAAGAGACAGATAGATATTTTACTTTTACACTAAAATGAAAAATTATTTTTTTATTTGTGTTTTGTATAAATAAATGCTTTAGGTGGGTTACGATTACGTGGCATCTTTTAGTAAAATAGCAGAAAACGTAAAGTCTTATTCCGGCTATGAGAAAAAATTGTTTTACATAACCATATTATTCTCTCATGATAAATTCTGTGTATCTAAAATTAGCTTAGATATCCTTAGATCAATATAAGGGGCAGGATAGAGTTACAGCTAAAGAAAGTTAGGTGTCCAGAAGAAAATTTCTTAAAAGCTATTTTTAAGACGGTTGAAATATTAATAGTCCGAAGCATTAGTTTCAGATTTTAATTTAAAAAAATATCAAAATAATATTTATAACATTTGACATCTAACAAAATCCATTTTATCAGTTTTTCTGCTTTAAAAATAATTTTATGGTTTAAGTGTCGTATTTTAACCATTTTTAAGCCCATCTCTGGACGTTAGTGAACAAACAGTGTCTAGTAAAATCTTTAGGAACCAGATAAAGAATGACGTTCCACGTAAAAAGGTGAGTACAAGAAGTCTGTTTTTCGTATATATTTAAATGACCAAAATTATCACAGTATATTGTAATATAATTGTAAATATTTGCAAAAATTTAAAGCTTTTTGGCTGTATTGTTGTATTTTACTTATTTATTTGCTGCTTTGAGAATAATAATTTTAGATTTTACTTCATGTTTAATAGAATTTGTTCCCACAAGTTTTGTATTTAAGGGTCTGTTTCTTATATAGAATGCAGACCTTTCTGTTTTGAGTGAAGCAATGTTTGAATTATATAAATAGCTCAACAAGAAACAAGCTGCAAACTCACCTAAATCAGTTTTCATTGATGTTGGTATTTTCAGCACGTCTTGACGATAATGGTCAAATTATGCACCACAACAATAATAATTATTGTAATTTTTATTAAACGTATCGTGAGCCGAAAAGAATCGCATGAAATGGATGCATACAACAGGTTGATTATTTTTGGCTTGAATAATGTATAAAAATTTCAAAGCAAATTCTTCTAAATAAAATTTTCTATTTGCCTGTTCTTATTTTTAGTGCAACAGTTAAAATAACCAAATTCACCGGGGCTTATGCATTTTTTACCTTGAGGCATTTAAATATTAAATTTTGTCTCTTTGAAACATTGAAAAATTGTTATATTTGCAGAATTAAAATGCTTGTATCAAAAGTAGCTTTGCATCAGCTTGTCAAAAGTAGCTTTTATTATTGAAGCAAAACATTACGTAATTTCAAAAGAAGCAAGTAAACATCCGCTTGGTTAATCGATCCTTTCCGAACAACAGTAGATAAAAATTGTTTCATGCAAGGCAGCCGATAAGGTTGGTTAAATGCGTGACCTTCTGTTGAAAGTAAGAGATCCTGCTTCCAATATTTTACGCAAGGCTGTACTATTTAAAAGAACTTTCATCAAAACAGAGTTCTTTTGTTTCTCGGAAATGTATGTATAATCCAGTAAAGTTACCACAAGTCCCTGATCACAACCTTCTTCAAGGACAAAATCCTTTCCTTTTCAAAATTAGTTGATTATGGGCGATTAATAGAAGTGAAACCTTGGCCAACATTTTGGGGAGGTTGTTTCATCATTGCTTCTTTTCTCATCTATCTATTCAATATGATGGCCATCCCTTTGCCATCTATTGCCATTTATTGATGATTATAACTTGAATCAAGAAGGATATTGTTCAAAGAAGGTTGTATGATGATATTATAAAAGGGCTTGAGGGGAATCAAACATAAAATTAAACTGCAGAATTTGTTGTGATAAAGCTGATCCGGCAGTTCAAGAATGGAAAGGGTATACCCGTTTTTCTGCGGAAGTGCGGACTTTTTCCGAATGTCCACAAATTTAAGGTAACAATGGGATTACAAAGTATAATTTTGGATCATGCATTTAAGTAGCATACTTTTAAATTTGTGTTCAATTGT